GTGTCAGGTCATTTATTTGGCTCTTTCTTAAATTCTAATATAGGCACTTAGGGCTATAAGCTTCCCACTTAGGACTACTTTTAAAGTGTCCCAGAATTTTTGTTGTGTTATATTGTCTTTTTCATTTAATTCCAGGAATACTTTATATATTTCTTTCTTAATTTCTCCTTTGACCCATTCTTCATTCAGGAGTGTGTTAATATCCATGAATTTGTGCAGTTACTAGGGCTTCTTCCAGTGTTGATTCTAAGCTTTATTGCATTGTGTATTGATAGAATGCATGGAATTATTATTTCAATTTTTTGTAATCATTGAGGTTTGTTTTGTGCCACTGGATGTGGCCAATTTTGGTTACATTCCATAGGGTGCTGAAGAGAAAGTATATGCTTTGGTGCTTGGGTGGAAGACCTGTTAGATGTCCGTTACCTCCATTTGAAGATATTGTTTAATTTAGATGTCATTCTGTTTATTCTTTGTCTCATTGACCTGTCTAATGGAAACAGTGGGGTATTCAAGTCCCCTACCATTAATTATTTGAGATTAATCTATGTCTTAAAGTCTTGTAGTTTGGTTTTTATGAAGCTGGGTGCACCAGAGTTTGATGCATATATGTTCAAGATATATGTAATATCTTCTTGATCAATTGTTCCTTTGATCTCAATGAAGTGAACATCTTTATGTCTTCTGAGTAGTTTTAGTTTGAAGACTATTTTGTCAGATATTAGAATTTCAACCCTTGCTTGTTTCTTAATGCCAATTGCTTGGAATAATTTTTTCCATCCTTTTGTCTTAAGGTAGTTCCTGTCTTGAAGGTGAGATGGGTTTCTTTCAGACAACAAAAGGATGAATTTTGCATCTTAAGCCATTCAACTAGCCTGTGTCTTTTGACTAGGGAGTTCAGTCCATTGATATTTAAAGTTATTGAAAGATGTGTATTGGTTCCCATCCTTTTAATTTCTGTTTGCAATTTTGGTCTAACTTTATGTTTCTGAAGTTATACCTTCATTTAGTTTCTCTCTGTAGCCCTTTGGATATAGTGGTTGCTTTCTTCAGCTCTTTGTATTGCTTCAAGTGTTTTTGAAAGGCTGACTTTGTGGACATGAATTCTTTCCACCAATTTTTGTCATGGAAGACTTTTCTTTCCCCTTCAACTCTAATTGACATTTTTTCTGGGTAAAGTATTCTGGGTTAGCATCTAGGGCCAATAGATCTGGGAATCTGGGAATACTTTGGTCCAGATTGTTCTGACTTTCATACTTTGCATTTAGAAGTCAACTGTAATTCTGATGGTTTTCCCTTTATATGCGGCTTGTTGCTTTTCTTTTGCACACTTTCAGCATTCCCTCTTTTCTCTGTAAGTGCAGTGTTTTTACTATGATATTCCATAGGGAGTTTCTTTTCTCATCCTGTCTATTTGGTGTTCTATGTGTTTCCTGTTTTGTATGGGCATATTTTATTTAATTTTTGGGAAATTTTCTTCTATAATCTTGTTGAATATCTGGTCAATATAATTATCCTGAGATTCTTCTCCTTCCTCTATGCCTATGATGCATAAATTTGGCCTTTTCATGGTGTCCCACTTTCCTACATATTCCATTCCTGTGTTTTAAATTTTTTTCAGACTCTTTGCATGAGTGGTCCAGTTCTTCAACTTCATCAACTTGTCTCAATATTCTGTTTTCAATTTTCATTCATTTTATTGATGAGGCTTTCTCCTGTTGTTTTCTACTTGGATTATTGAGTGTTTCACTTCCTTCTTCATTTCAGACTAAGCTTTCTTCAATATTTCTATCTCTTTTGTGAATTCAGTCAGAAGTTTATCCCTATCTTCTTTTAGTTATTTGATTGTTTGTGTGTTCTTTAAATTTGTTGAATTCTTTGATCCTGTTTATCACTGTTCCTTTAAATCCTGTGTCCTGGTTCATCTCTAGGTCTTCACATTGTAGAACTCTACTATAGGACTGTTCATGTTTGGTGGAGACATATTACTTGTGTTTTTCATATTATTTTTTCATTATGATTTTGGCATGTTGATTTCTTTTGGTGTTTGTGATTTTGGTGAGGCTCAAGCATTCCTTTGTTGAGTGTAAGTCTCTTTCCATATGTATACTTAATGTGCATTGGTTATTTTATTATTAGGTTGTAAAGCTTCTTGGTCTAGATTTCAGGTTCTCTCTTTCGATTTTATACTGGAGGGATCAGATGGCTCTAGTCCAGCTACTCAGGAATTTCCACACAGGCCAAAGTCAGGGGAGAATCAGATGCTCTCAGGCTTCCTCCTAAGGTCTGGGCACCTATAGCCAGCAGGCACAGCACAATTTGAAAAGTTTTCTAGGTGGAGGCTGAATTCAGGTAATCTCAGGCAGTCCGCAAAGGTCTGGGCCCCTACTAAAAGGCAGAAAGCTTAGCCTGGGAGAAGTCACAGTGGCTATAGGTGGTCCCAATATAGGGTGATGAACACTGTGTGATTTGAAATTCTCACTGTAAAGCAGAGGCCAGATTCAGGCACTTTCATGCAGTCTGGAAATTTCTGGGTCCTTACTAAAGGGCAGAGAAGCCTAGCCTTGCAGCAATGGGAGGGCCCAGTGTAGGGGGGGATGGGCAAGGAACAATTTGGAGAGCTCACCACCTTGTGGAACTAAGAGGGTAGTCCAGGGATCTGGGGTACTAAGAGAAAAAACAGGTCTCTGTCTTAGGCTAGAAGGAGAACAGGATGTGAGATGGTATAGACTGAAGTTGTTCAGCCTACAGGGAAGTCAAGGCACAGTGGGTGGGATCAGGCTTAACCAGGGAAAAAGACTGGTCTAGGAAATCCAAGGCAAGTTGGGAGTGAGGGGACAGCCTTTTGAGGGTGCTAACAAACTAGGCTGAAAACTTGAACTGGTCTGAGTGCAGATAATCAGGACTCAATGGGTGTATCCAGAACAAGTGGGTAGTCCAGAAATCTGGGTTGCTGAGAGCAAAAGCAGGACCGTGCTCAAGGGTCGAAGGAGAACAGGATGTGGAGTCAGGGACAAGCTCCAGGTATTTAACAGTTTGTCCACAATTGGTGGTGCCATTTTGGGAGGATTAGTATGTGTGGCTATGATGGAAGAAATACATCACTGAGGGTGTGATTTAGCCCTGCCTCATTTTCAGTCTCTCTTTCCTTGATTCCCGTGTCTGTTTGATGATGTGAGCCCTCAGCTTTCTGCTCCAGTTACCTCTTGCAGCCATGCCTCTCTGTCATGATGGACTCTTATTCTTCTGGAACTATAAACCAAATAAACCCTTCCTTCTGTATGTTGATTTGCTCATTGTATTTTATTTATCACAGCAACAGAAAGTACTTACTACACCGTTTCTTCTTTAAAACTGCACTTTAATGACAATACCAATTAGCACCTATGTATAAGAGTTCTGAAAAGCAAACCATGTAATCAGTTCTTAGAACATAGAAGTTCACAGGGACCTCGTACATTCAACACAGCATAATAACACTACTCTCAAATGTTATCAGCAATTTCTGATCATGGCTTCTTGAGTGCATCTGAACTAATCAACAGGTCAATCTATGTATTGTTGTGGCAATACCCTCTGATCTATCCTAAGAAGATGCTGTCATATACAAAGAGCCATGTAATCCAGGGGTGGAAAGAGAATCTGTTTACGGAAATGTTGTTGGCTATTGATTCATATTGGAACATTGAGTATTTCAAATAATTGTTTCTTCTTCCAAAGTCTCATGAATTTTATAGTATTCCAAATAAGCACAATTTATTGTAGACGATGGTGATTATGACAGCTTACAAATGTCAAAAATCTCAGAATCTGAGACTTTGGCAGGTGCCTGTCTTCTGCAGCCTCTTCATAGCATCTTCGATTTCCTTGTTCCTCAGATTATAAATCAAGGGTTTCAATATGGAACTCACTACCGTATAGAACAAAGAAGCAAATCTGTCAAAGCTGGAGGAAACCCCAGAGCTGGAACGCAAATAGGCAAAGACACCAGAACCATGGAAGAGGGAAACAGCTGTCAGGTGAAAAGCACAGGTGTTGAATGCCTTGGACCTGCCTTTAGTGGATGTGATCTTCATGATGGACAAGATGATATAGCCATAGATATCATGACAATTAAGGCATTCATCATCTCAAAGACTATTATTATTAAAGCAAGGAGGACTTGTGCAAATAAAGTGTCAGTGCAGGAGAGATATATGAGCTGGGATATGTCACAGAAGTCCCAGATGATATTAGGTACACAGAAGTAGAGCTGCAGCAAGGTACAAATCTGAGGTAAGGAGCATGTGATTCCTCCCATATATGATTCCACCACCATCTGAACACAGAGGGTGGGTGACATGATGGATAAATAGAGCAGAGGGTTACAAATGGCAGCATACTTGTCATAGGCCATGGCTGTCATGAGGCAAGCTTCACTCGTCACCCGCAGTGAAAAGAAGAAATACTGAACTACACAGCTCACAAAGATGATAGTTTGCTTTTCCTGGAAGAAATTGAAGAACAGTTTAGGGACTGTGGAGGAGACATAGCAGAGGTCTATGAAGGACAGATTACTGAGGAAGAAGTACATGGGGGTGTGGAGGTGGGAATCCATCCTTATTAAAACAATGAGTCACAGGTTCCAGGTCAGAGCTGTGATGTAGATGAGCAGAAATATGATGAAGAGCAGTGCTGTGATTCTGGGGAAATCCGAGAATCCCAGGAGGATGAATTCAGTGATCTCAGTAATATTTCCTCCTCCCTTCATTGCCTCAGTGCTTCTAACATGAGAAAGGAGACAAGAAACCATGTTGTTGACCCAGGTTAAACTACATCACCATTTTCATCTCATCTTTTCATCTAATGAGCCCTGAGAAGAAGTGAGTCACTATCTTCTATGGGAACACTCCAGCCTTTCTTCTCCAGTTGTCAATAAGAATCAATTGAGCATCTTGATTTCCCAGTTACTTCATGGAATTTTATGAGGTTTAAAAAAGCTCTTTAAAAATCTGAATGCAGTGCTCACTTCAACAGCGCATATACTAAAACTGGGACGATACAAAGATTCACATGACCCCTGCAAAGGATGACACACAAATTCATGAAGCATTGAGTATTTTTTTAAATCTGAATGCAATGCAGAATTCTGATTTGAGACTAGACACCACACAGTCACTTATTCTCTACATTGTGATTAGTTGAGGATCTGTATAATAGTCTCCATATATTGCAAAAGAAGCTTCTTTACTGAGTAGTAAAGCTTAACTTATCTGTGAATAGGGTATAAAAATTTAGAATATAGTAAGAAAATGTTTTGGTTTAGAAAGTCACCAGAATAGGTTCCCCTCTAGGGTATATCACTGTGTGCATGTAATGAGAATAATCAAAGAGGAGAAATTGAGAGGGGACTGTACAGAGAAGACGTTGGCAAGAGGAAAGAGGAGGTGGGAATGAGGTAAATACAGACGTGACATGTGAAATTCTCAAGAAAATTCTTAAAAATTTGAAAATAATTTAAAAATCTGAAATTTCATTCATAATCCAAGAAATGTTGTAATAAATAAATGTTAGTGATCAATGATAGAAATTAATGACTTTTCCATAAGAATTCTGATATTTTTCAGGGGGGATGACTCAGTGGGAAACACGCTTGCTAAATAAACACCAGGACTTGAGTGTGATCCAAGATCCCACATTAAAGCTGGACTTGGTGAGAGTTGAGGGATGCATTGATATTCCTTCTACCCCCCTCCTCCATCATGCTATGTGCCATGAACCTTAGGTGGAGAGGTTTCATAATAGATGCATCACCTTGGGCTGGACATCTCTCAAACACTCTCTATGTTTTACCAGTTGTCTAATTCTGTATTCGTCTCTGTACGATGTAAAAAGAGGCTTCTTTGATGTTTCACCTCTCACAGGAAAAGCTTCCTTATGCAACAGAGGTGATTAACAGAGAAAGCCACTACTGGGCAAAATGTAGAAAATAAGATTGCAGAGTATGTGTCTCTAGATATGGCTCCTATATTAAACCTCTGCCACCTGGAACTCAGAGATCATTGTGTAAGATGGTTTGGAAAGACTGTAAGAGCAAGAGGTGTTTGATGACCACAAGGAAACAGAGTTTTCCAAGGGCTGGTAACTTGTCCATATAAACTTATATCAATGGTAACAGTATGCACAAAATCCATGCAAATGCAAACTAGACAACAACCCAGCACAGAACTGAGGAAATGGGTAAGAAGCCCAAAACTTTTCAAAGAAACTATTGGCAGCTAATAACTCCTGGATGACAAGAGTTGGTCTTCTTTAAGGGAATGAGGCTAGATAGGTTAAAAGGGTCCAGTGAATGAACTCACACTGAAGGACATCTGAAGATACAATCTTGACTTGATAGGCCTTAATACATATGAGAGAATGCATAAAATCTGGTGGTGGGGTACGGGGCAGGTGAAGACAGGGGAAGGTGTCTAAATATTATTAAGATGTTTTATATGAAATGCACAAAATTTCAATAAAATATACAAATATAATTTTAAAAATCTTAAACTTGGTAGCTCATGCTTCTAATCCAAGTCCTAAGACAGAATATGCTTAGGACTCTCTGGCCAGCCAGACTTGCCTAATAAGTGAACCTCAAGTCACAGTGAGAGACCCTGTCTCAAAATTTATTGGGGATGACTCCTGAGGAATAACAGCCCAGACTGTACTGTATTCTCCACCTGCATATTCATATATACATTAATACACACATAGCTTCCTCCTCCCAACCATGAAATAATGACAAAGACTCCCAATATTCCTTAGTCATGAAAGTACATGTAGTATCTTTTTAAGATAAATTTAAATGTTTTCCCTTCAGGATTACCTTAGTATGTATTTAAATCTTATTCATTAATCATTAAGAAAATTTATTTAGATCATTCAAATTAATTTTTCATACATTATTCATTTACTGTATTTCCAAACTGGAACATAATAGCATCATTTCCATTTCTGACATGTTTTGGTAGAGCAAGCATGTATGCACAAGTCTTCCTTGGGCAGCCTTCACAGGAAGTGGCCAAAGGAGGTGAGTATATCTCGCTATAGTCCCCAAAGATTTTCTCATTATTAGGATGTTTTGCTTCCTGGTAAATATCATGGATATGTGGTGAAGGATCCAGACTTTAAAGTGCTGTGAATGTCCACATGTTCTATTAAATTATCAAAAGTGGCTGAATGTACTTAATTTCATCTACTCACTATCATTTGAGAACAATAAAAGGCCACAAACTGTAGGTTATTACAAGAAATGGATGTCACCATCCAGATCACAATCACCATTCAACAGATGTTAGTTACAATCACTGAACACAGATGAGTAATCAGAAATGATGGCTATACCCATGAATAGAAACACCAGGGATGTTAGATGTTCCTTGCCTTTGGAATACAGTTACTGAAACCTCTCTCATCAGCCCATAGACAGCAGGCATTGCCTCTGTGTAGGTGTCTATGGGGACCCTCTGTTCATGGCGGTCACACTCCCCAGGGCCATGAAGATGTGTGAAAACTTTATCAACTTCTTTTTAGTTTGCCTGAAAATTGGATACACAAGATCAAGGGACAGCCAACATCAACTATGGCTGACCTTGACGTAGATAAAAGATCAGATAAATGTTACATCTCCAAAATTTTGTAAAGATACATTTTTTTGTAAATCAATAATTCAAGATTCCCTAACATTTTCCTCAGAAATAATACCTATTTCCTATGCTCCATGTCCAGAAAGTCCTTCCTTGGACTGAAATGGATAGTCAATGATGAAAGAAAAAAGATAATTAAAAGATGTACAAAGTACCTTCACTTTCAGTTACTAAAAAATGCTTTGAACTCTGATAACTCATTATTCTCAGAATAACAGACAAAAATCAAATAAACAGATCTCAAAATAACTTTATGTGTTGGGATGAATTTGCCATGTGATATGTTACAATGTTCTATCAATATGGAAAAAATCAGCATTTTCATAAATGATATGGACAACCTTACTCACTGTAGTTAAAAATCTTACTGCTGATGAAATATATATGGATTTATATAATGGTGAAGTAGAAAATACACTTCAGACAAAAAGAAAAATGTAATTTCACTGCAATTAATTAGATAAAAAGAAACTCCCGTTTACTTTTTGAAAGGGGAATATAGTAATCATTATGATAAAATAAATGTAAATAAACCACTGGCAGGTGCACAAAATGGTTTTATTTGGATAGAAGAAAAATTTATTTTACAGAATCATTTCTTCATCCTATCCTACTCTCTTACACACACACACACACACACACACACACACATGCATGCACATAACAAATGAGCCATTTAAAACACCAGCTATTAAATGCAATAGATGATTCTGGGGATGTTTCATTCCCCTTGACAAGCATCATGTGTATTACACTAGCATAATTCAACAAACATATTTTTTGTACTTATTTCATTTTTCATTTTGAATTTTTACATGTAAAGTCTCATTAATTTTTATTAAAGTTTTGTGATTTTCATTCAATATAATTCAATGGTGTTTAAGATCCTCTCCCTATGCCCACCTCCCCTCACTGCCCCCCTTGCCCTATTGAATGTACTCATACATACAATAAGGCCTTCTAGACATTTGTCTCCAAATGTCCTTCGGTGTTGGTCCAGCCAAGAAGCCTGATTAATCTACCAAAAGTCCCATGCTTGAAACAGACTCCCTCTGACCACAAGGAAACCCTGTTTTCCAGATAGCAGCTCATTACTCATAAGAACTCACAGCCACAGTGACAGCATGACAGTGTTCACAACTGTTAGGCAAGCTCACAACAGAAAAAAAAAAATACATAGTCATGAGGCAGTGGATAAGAAGCTCTAACCTACATAAGATTTTGGCTGCTTGGAGAAAGGTGAAAATACACACACACACAAA